AGAGCCTGAAACTTTTCCTTAGATGTTCATTTCTTTGTGATACTTCTTTCAGAAGAAAGCTTGTGCAGTTTTGGAGATGGGGAATGGTACCACATAAAGACAAAATAGAGTGAGAGAGCAAAATATAAAGACAGTATTACGTGTGTACGGGAGCTTAACTGTAGTACCATAATGTGTGTTAGCACGTAACTTTGTGAACTGTGTTATTTTTATTTTTGTGGGACCCTGCAAGATTTAGGAGGTAGTCTGAAATAATCCTAATTTTTCAGACTTAGCTCAAAAGTTTCCCAGCAATCTCGAGAAATGTGCTTTTTTCTGCTTGGAGAAGGGTGGAAGCAAAATGAGTTGCAGGGAGGAGGTGGGGTGAATGCAAGGAATTCAGGGGACCTAGGCAGACCCAAGACATAGGGAGACGTGTATGGAAGCAATTAGGGTAGGGATGGGAGTAGGAGCATTTTCTTTAGGTCTGAAACTGTGCCTTGCCAAACCATCCAGTCTTCTGAGCTTGGGACTTAGAAGCACCCTTCTTATCTAGTGAAGTGTTGTTTTTAAAGAAGGGGAAATAAGTGATTTTTTACACATAAGTAAGAACAAACCCAGTCACTTCTGTAAACCTGTGAATTAATGCTATGTTAGGTTTTTTTAAAGGATCATTTCTTGAGAAAGACATTTTGATGTAATTATAAGCTATTAAGAAATGGGAAGGAATTTTGCATTTTGTATGCAGGCATGAATAAATAGATCCATTGAAAGACAGACAGAGCAAGTCACTTGGAATGCACCAGTCAACAGCAGAAATGTAAACACACTCCAGCTACGCTCTCTACACTTGTATTTCAGTGTGCCACAGAACAAAACTGCTATTAATACAGGCTGACTGCTGCTCTTGTTGAATTCAGTACTGAATCCTTCACAAAATCCAGTTTTAATTCACAGATTGTGGATCAGAACTGCATTGTGTCTGGCTCTGGAAACCCAGGAAGGCAGGAACTTGCTGCAAAGGAGTCTCTGGTCCATCTTAAAATGAGGCATATGAAATTGGTTTGCAGAGCTGAGTAGGTTTAGAGTAACAGCAAGTAAACAAAATGCTGATTCCAACAGATCTTTGTCTCTGTGTTCCAGCATGTTCATGCAATCTTATCTCATAGATAGGTAGATCTACCATGTATTTATCTTCATCTGGTAACAGTCTTAATGAAATTCACTAGGACTGTTGCTTTGTGAATTATTTTGGTAGTGGCTTTCTATAATTTATCATGGAATTTTAACCTTTAAAGAGTAGCAAGTTACTGGAAAAAAAAACTGTGTAAAAATCAAACACAATTCAGTTGGTTGTGCTGAAACTGGAATTACTCTGGCAGATGTAGGGTAGCAATATTAATTAATTTGTCTGTGTTTAAAAATAAAATAGCTTCCCCATCATATTTCTTGATGGGTGTTTGATTGGTTGGTTTTGTCGTCTTGATAAAATGAATGTCACCAGACTTGTTAGTGTGATGTTATAGTTGTTCTTATTCCTGGGTATAAAAATGTGTTTTATTTATGAGGAGTGAATAACAGTGATACCAAGAAGGAAAACTTAATCACAGAAGTAAGATCTATTCTTCAGGAGGCTGGCTATCTGGAAAGCAGGTCTGGCATGCAGGAATCTTCAGCTTGCACTGGTGGAATCTCTTGACAGATAGAATTTCCTTGACTATAAAAGACTTGTTCTGGCATTTTTCTTTTTCTACATCTTTTCTTTTGGACTGGGCTTTGAGGGACATCAAAAAGCAACATTAGATACTGAGCTGCATGCTGAAATTCCCTTGTCTAATTTTCTCCATTTTACATATTTCCGTGCACCTTTTACAAGTGCTTCTTATATTACGTTGAGTAAGTCACATTTTTCTTCAGCTGAAGGTTTATTACAGGGTCAGAGGAATTATAGTCTCTTGCCCTGTCTCATGGTTGTGAGGTACTGCAGGTATGTTCCTTTGGCATGACAGAGGCATAGTACAGCACAGTCAAATAAAACACTGAGCAATAGCTTCCTTACATGTTTAAAAATAAAAGATAAATATCACTTTCATAAGGCAGATGAACTTTAATTGCTGAATGTTTATAGAAAGTTTTGAGATGGTCAGAGGCAAGGTCCTGTGCAAATGCAGTATTTTATTAAAATATTTAATAAGCAGATTCTCTGAGCCAGTAGAGGGAACAAAGATGCCTGTCCACTCTTAATTTTCCCTGCCCATAATTATTTCTACGGAACATAAATTACATATTGTACAGCTTTATTCTGTTTTCAGAGGATAATTATACTAGAAATTCCAGCCTTCTTTCTGTGGAGGGACCTCTTTCTCAGAAACCACACCTTGTAGCAGCCTGGTTTTCATTTGAGAAGGGTTGAACTCCCATTTATGTCAACAAGTTCTTATGGATTGATTGCTGTCAAAAGACAGATACAGGTAAAATCGGAAGCCCTTATTCACAAATCATAATAATTCAGTCTGGAAGATGTATTGGAAGCTGATGATAGCTGGTGATAGTGGAAGCTTTTTTGCATGTGAACTCTGTTAGACGTTGCTCCTAATTTAATGCCTGCTATTGTAACCGAGAGAGGAGCTTGTAATTCCTGTTGTAGTCATCTGAGCATCTCCAGTGGTATCTTGATGCTTGGACTTGGTTGCAAATGAGGCAAGGCGGGATGCAAAACAGACAGTAGCATTTGCTCTGTGTGTGAGATTGGAGGCTTTTAGGGATATATTTACATAAGCATTTAGGAGTTTCATAAACTGAAAGCTAGGGTCTTAAAGTAAGATTCACAACCCACTTGTAACATACCAGGAGGGACAAATCTTTTATTCTCTACCATTAAAGACTGATGGACCTAGTATACTTCAAATTTCTTAAGAGCAAACTACTGTTTCAGAAATGTTCCAACTTAGTAATATTCTAATAGTCATGCTTCACTGTTTTTAACATCCACAAGTAGCAAAATTACATTCCCATTTGAGTAATTTTAGTAAGGGGGTGGCAGCAAGGAAATGGAATTCTGTTTAAAAAAAAAAAAAAAGATACTGTTCAAGTCTTACTTCTGCTGGAAAAGTTTGTTTGTTTTTTTTATGTAGCTGTAGTGTACTCAAGGCTTTTTTTTTTTCATCATTGCATATGCAAAATCCAGACCTGCAGAACTGTTCCATGTGGTGAACAGTCTGCTGAACCCAGACTGTTTTGCCTGAGTAGCAGATTTCCATATACCTCATTATGAATTTGGGTTTTTTTGATTTATGTAGGCTCTGTTCCTTCAAAGGGATGTACAACTGTAGACCTTTATACCTACCAAAGTGATATCTTATCAAGTACTGAGAAAAATACAAGGGCAGGTCCCTTTGGAGAATAAGAGGCTTATTTTTCAGAGAAGAACCTTCTTTCTAGCCATTTTAGTCTTTCATGGAAACAGCATATAAACAGGAGGCCACAAAGTAACTTAGCTTTTGAAGCTTTTTAATTGTACCCAACAAGGTTCTGGATGTTTAGTGAAAAGTGTGTAATGCAAATTTATATCCCTTTTGATTGGTAAAAGACCAAGAAAGATTTAGGTCAGTACTGCTAAAAAAAGTACCGTGGACTTCAGCTGGTTGTTGCCTTAGACAACCTGATTTAAATAAAAACTGCTAGATCCTTCCACACCAACAAAACCATTATCCTCAGCAATAGCAGGCATGTTTGTCTTCCATCCTGCGATAAAGGCAGTTGATTAAGGTGCCTAAATACATCTCTGAAGCTGTCATATTTCTGTGGATTCTTACCATTCAGATTTCCAGTCTGTGCATGGACAAAGTTAATAACTTTGTTTGTATGATTTCCTTCTGGGAATTAATAAAATCATAGAATCAGGGAATATAATAACAAAACAATGTAGACTGGAGAGAATCTCTGGAGGTTATCTGGCCAAACCCCTCCTCAGAGCAGACCAGCTTAGATCAGCGTGCTCATGGCAGTTGTTCTGCTGGGCTTTGAGCACCTCCGAGGATGGAGATTCCCCAGCCCCTCTGGGCCTGTCTTCCAGTATTTTATTGCTTTCATTGCGAAAACGTTTTTCCTAATAGCTAACCAGAACTTCCTTTGTTGCAACACGTCTGTATTGCCTTTCATCCCATCACTGTGCGCTTCCGAGAAGGCTCTGCCTCCATCTTCTCTATATTTTTCCATTAGATAATTGAAAGCATCAATATACCTCCAATAACAATATGCCTTCACCTCCCCTCTTCATCATCCCCCCCCCCCCCCCCCC